GCTCCACCATGGCTCCTAGCTCCCTCCTTTCCGCCATGGCCCGGCAGTCCACTAGCTCCGCCGGGCTCCCTCGTCCCTCCAGCTTCGCCTTGGTCTGGCATCGACCTTCCTGCGCCTCAGGACTCCACTCCTCCGGCTCCGTCAGTCTCCTTCATCACTTCGGCTCCTCCTCAGTCCTCTGTCGCTCTGGCTCCACTGCGGCCTTTCGGATCCCCACCTCCGCATCTGCTCCACCTTGGCCCTCTGGATCCTCTCCGTTGCCTTGGCTCATCGGCTCTCCATCTCCGCCTCGGGCTCCTCCGCCACCTGCTCCAACAACGTCAGTCAGGCCCCTGGAGTCGTCAGCCCTTCCTCCTCCATGGCTCCTCCCTCCGTCGGCTCCACCGTGGGTCGCCTTCATGGCTGTGGCCTGGGTCCTGCCCGGCTCCTCCTGTTCCAGCTCCAATCCCTTCCTATGTTGCTCCTGCGGTGCGAGGACGCGCCTTCCGGTAGGGGGGCGATATGTCACTCCCATGGACTGTTTGTATGTGTTTTGCTCCCCGTGACCCAGTTTCTCCCTCTTGTTGATTGTGTTAAAGGTGGGGTAAGTGGTTTCTGGTAGCCACTTGTAATATGTTGATATTTCAAATAACCAAAACAAACACGCCCCTACCCCAAAAGGGTCTTGCCCCTATTTTAAGCAACAATTAGTTCTGTGAAAAAACAACAAAACAAACCACGCCCCTACCCCAAAAGGGTCTTGCCCCTATTTTAAGCAACAATTAGTTCTGTGAAACAAAGCAAAACCAATGTTACACCGTGTCTAGACCGGACGCGAGTGGTGCAGTGCTACAAAATACTATAGAACTCATTATAATCATGTCTACACTGGATGTGGCGCGGCGTGGCACGACAAATCCCCGACAGAAAACTGCTGCTGCGTTCTATTTATGACGTATTGACACATATTTCAAATGATTTGCAAAGGTCGCTTTATCGCGTCCAGTGTAGACAGACTTTAGCTGTTGCTGCGCAGGCCTTCCCGCTCCTTGAGTTCTCTCCAGC